ATAACATCAGGGGAGCCATCGGCTACCTGTATTCGAAGTTCATCAAACTTCGCGAATAGACTCTGAGCGTTGGTATACATAAATTTTAGCCGGCGATACTCCGCAGTGTCCAATTCGTTTGGGCTCGAGTTTGTCAGTACTACTGGACCGCAGCCGTCATCAGTATTGGCTGCTTCCACAGCACTATGGTAGTTTTCTGTATTATTTGGTCCCTGAATATAGCCAAATTGCTCTCTCCAGCTCTCTCTCTCCCCCGTAGTTCAGCCACAATACTCGGAGTTTCAGACGTTCCGCTGAAGAGTAGTCCGGCTCCGTGAAGTAGAACTGACAAAAATCCAAAATCCAAACTTTTCGTGTGAACGACCGTGATAACTTACTACGGGACGCAGATGACTCCAAAACTACGCAAAAGCAGCAAAATCTTTGTTAAGCCCAACTGTACAAAGGCCTTCCGAGCCGCCCAAAATAAGGAGGTGGACCGGTGTCTGATCGAGCCGTATGGGCGCATATCGAAGATTTGTGATGTCGACCCCTTTTTCGATGTTCAACACAATGCGGTACCGCTTGTGTGTGATGTGGCCACTTAGCATGTCAGTGAAGGGAATACCGCGAATGAGAACTGGGGTAGGTCTGTCCTAATTTGTCAGCAGTAGATATTGTAGCATGTCCAGCATCATCTCTTTAGTACATAAGTCATATAGGCGTAGAGCTTCAGACCTACGTATGTTCAGCCTACGCTGTTTAAAGATGACTGTGCTTCATTAACAGATTTCAGCTGCGTCGATCACCTCGATCGCCCTAATATAAATCTGCAGCATTTTCAGCCTACAATTCACAATCGCTCCGCTAGAAAGAGACCTGTTAATTTCCGGATCTACCGCACCACACACCCGAACGGTGAGTGCTGCATCCTGGTTCGGTGTGCTTCACCTTCGAAACGACCGCGGCAAACTATACCGCTGTTGAAGGAACGGGCAAAAATCAATAAATGACACAATATTCATTGACCGGAAATATTCTTGCTTCGAAACCGTAACACCTACACTGCACAGCTATTTCATTTCATATTTGATATCATCGTACCCTGGAAGACATGTGTTTTTACTTAAAACAAACTCCCTATTTTGCAGACCAAGAATATAACCAATACCAAGCCTATATTGACTACAAACAACGAGTTCGCTTTATGTTGTTTCCTGTTTTCCAAAAAGTTCGACGGTACCGAGGATGATAAAAATCAGGCAGGAATCTCTTCGTGCATGAAAAACGAAAATTTGACGAAGTATCCACATTGGGAAAAAAACTGTAGTTAAGGTGACCACATCCATTTCTGACACATTTAATGCAAGTTTAAATGTTATTGGAAACAATTTAGTTTATAAAATTTTGTATTTGTACTTATTCTGGATTTACTTGCCGTTCTTTTCCATTCCCATGCCTTAAACATATTTATATTTCACATTGGACCACTGACTTTTAATATAGCCATTACCTGAGTTTGCAGATTTTTGTGAAAATTAAATTTGTTTATGCTAGTAAATAGTAATTTCTCAACCAAACTCTGAATTTTTTTAATTAAGGCTCTTACTTTCCTGTTCTGATAGTTTGGGGGACGCCGCGTTTGCTGACTTGCCGCAAAATGATCTTTATTACGTTTTCTAACGTATTTCATGAGTTTGTGCACTTATTGTACTCTATGAATAAACCATATTACTTAACCTTTAGAAAATCAGGGCAGTCAACTTTGTGGCCGGTGAAATGGAAGCCTCCGACGCAATCAATGATGAAAAGGCCACTGATGCTGTTGCAAGAGGCTCAAGCAAGTCAAGCAAACGGACTGGAAAATAAGCAGAAAATTTCGGTGAAGTGAGTTATGGCCTAGTAAAAGGCCCAGGAAGAAAACAAACCACTGCAATCATTTAATAAATGTGCACGTTCATATTTGACAATCTTTAGGCTTCAGACCGTGTTCCAAGTGGTTGTAGGTAAACTGTAGGCGTGTAGGAGAGAATGTTATTAGGATGAATACAAAGGTGAGTCGAACATCGCACAGTAAACGAATAGAAAAGGAATATGTTAATATAAACTGTTGGCCAACAAATAAATGCCATCAGTGGATATAAGTTCCGGCTCAAGCGAAGACCGTGCAGCTGTGGCGGGTGATAAATTCACTTGGCATGAGTAGGCGACGACACTCCGAACACCTTAATGGGTCGTGTTTTCCATACCCTGCGTGTGGAGGAAATCACGAACCACTTAACGTTCTTCAACCGACAATTTTTCAAGTGTGTGTTCTTAGGATCTGACGCTCACAATGCCGTTGTCAGTAAGTCGCAATATCTTCCTTTAGCATAAGATCCTCAGTGGTATTCAAGAAGTGGCTAGCTTAGACGTCGAAGTGCGTTTAAGGTAGCCTTTCATTCGAGTTGCGAACCTTAGTGACTGCGCTGGATATTGAAATGCGCAGACTGCATTAGTTTTGTGTCTGTTGACTGCCAACAGAGGTGATAAGTGCTTCCAAGAGGTACAGTTAACTTATGAAGCCCACTTCACCGCGAATGCAATGCTGTACCGGTACATCATCATTATTAACAGAGTCTCCACAGACGGACTTAACGATATCCACAGTCCGGGCTATATACAACTGAAGGATTAAGTGAGAGAAGGAAAAACTCGCATGCCCAGCTTGCCCCACTCGAACGTATATATAAAGGATGCACAGGCATGATGATAACGAGAGCCATCCAGACCAAATTAAAAAAAATATAGGCGTCTCTTTAGACGTGAAAACTCCATGCCTATCTTACCGTGTTTTAAAATCACAAAGTGTTCATCATATTATACTTTGTTTGTCTTCTCCATATTACAGTAAGTTCACTAACTCATGAAATCCAAGGATTTTTACAAGTAACGCCCTGTTACTCAAAAGCAGCCGAAGCTGCGGCATAAGTTCGCCTATTGTCATCATGCGCCCTCAAGGGATGGGGCTGTAACGACCTCTTATTCAAAGCCATGCTTTGCTTACATGCCTGTGGGGCATGACCCGAGTGTCTAGCTTT